TATTTAAAGGGAGATTAAAGCACAGTAATGTGCCTATACAAACCCAGTGAAGTACTCTGAAGACAAATAATTTTTAAATTATTTATTTATTTATTTTGGCTGCTCTGGGTCTTTGTTGCTCTGCGTGGGCTTTCTCTAGTTGCAGCAAGTGGGAGCTCCTCTTCCTTGTGGTGCACAGGCTTCTCATTGCAGTGGCTTCTCTTTTCACAGCGCACAGGCTCTAGCTGCACAGGCTTCAGTAGTTGCGATGCATGGGCTTAGTTGCTCCATGGCTGTAGAATCGTCTCAGGCCAGGGATCAAATCTATGTCCCCTGCACTGGCAGGCAGAATCTTATCCACTGTGCTACCGGGGATGTCCTGAAGACAAATAACTTTTGGACTTCCCTGGCCGTCCAAGACTCTGCACTTCCAATGCAAGAAGCGAGGGTTTGATCGTTGATCAGGGGACTAAGATCCCACATGCCGTAGCACAACTAAAACACACACACACACACACACACACACACACACACACACACAAAAACAACCAAAAATAGAGAAGTACCCCTTTAAAAAATATTTCAAACACTCTTCAGTAATGATGTTGATGATCGTGTTAGTATTGGTCTGTTGAGACTGTTGTGTGACTTGTGGAATAAAGCCAATGAATAATTATGTCACTGAACTGGAATTTTAGATAGGAGAAAGGGGAAGAGATATAAGTAAAGTAAGTTTAAGTACAAACCCCTTAGTTGTATATTTAAATTGATAGAATTAGGATAAACTCATGTATTTTATTAAAAGAAAATACTTTCTTGGTGTCTCTAACGAAAAGCTTTAGAAACAGTGAGCAGCCCAGTGACAGTGAGCACCCCTAGTGTCTGATTGTGGTATCTACCACCTCCCCATTGAAAGAANGATGGCTGGATGGCATCACCGACTCGATGGACATGAGTTTGAGTAAACTCCAGGAGTTGGTGATAGACAGGGAGGCCTGGCGTGCTGCGATTCATGGGGTTGCAAAGAGTTGGACATGACTGAATGACTGAACTGAACTGAAGAATAAATAATTTCCATGAATGAAATATATCAAGTACAGTTAAACCTGCAGTCTCATGATATTAAAAACTCATGGTCCCCTTTGAAAAATGCTATGGAACCAGCTCACATTCTGAAAATAGGCAAAGCAAGCATTTATCCTGCCTTTTTTCTCCCCAAACTGAACCTTGGGGCAACCAAATAGTTGATAAAATTTCTCTTTGTAGAAAGATTCCAGCTAATAAATAAAGAAGTGAAAGAGTTGGAATATTACCATTCTTTGCAGTCTCTTTAGAAAATCTGGATTTAGGCATGTGTATTAGAGCACTGACATCTTAAAACATCAGCCAGACCTTATGTACTTCTGTTGGAAATACACTGTACTGCCTATAAAATCTTTTTTCCTGAATGAGTCAGTCCTGCATCTGATAAGTCTTCTAGATCAAACTAGCAGTTTTCAGAAAATGCGTGAGAGAGAGAAACATGTTACATGACTCCGTAAGAATGCAATCCACAAAATCCAGAATATGGGGGATTCTACAGGGCAATTGTCAATAAAATCCTATGTTTAAAACTTTTCTTGAAGAATTGGAACGGTTTGGCAACACAAGCTGGACATCCCTGCCTGGTGTCAACCAGCTAACTCCAAGCAGTGGCTGCACATAGATGGCCATTCACTTGCTAGTCTGAGTGAGTCCCTGCCACCAACAGCCTGACTCGGTCCCAGTATCTGCCCTGTAGGTAGCAGAGTTTAGGATCCCTGCTCTTTGTGTTTGCATAGTAATATCTCCTAGTTTTATCACCCCAAAGATGGAATTCTTTCTTAAGTATTGCAAAGATCTCTTACTCTTTAATTTTCCTCTTGTCTGGTTGTTTATGGTATTAATGTTTTCTTAACGATAAAGTCTCTTTGGTCAAGATGAAACCCTTCAATTTCTTCATTACCCTTTCTCCTGCTCCAATATTCATCTCTCTGACCATTCTTGTCAATATCATTAGGACCCTTTAGCTTGTCCATGTCCTTCTAAAGATATTTTGAAATAAACTAGATAATAGAAATCCAGATTTTAGTAGTGAAATACTGCAACAAACGGAACTCCAGGCTGACATGGATGCACTGTGCTTTGGCCATTGCAAGTTAAAATCATTGTCACATTCTTTAATCTCTGAGGTTTTATCAAATCTCTTTGGGCCACGTAAGGCCCAGGGGCTGACTGCTGGACTCACTCCAGTAAGCGTGTTGCCACTCCCCTCTCCAGGACTGGAATAAGAAAGAAGCTTTGTTAATCTCTGCAACCCTCCACATGCAGAGATCAGACTGCTGTAATATTTGTGGGTACAACTCTAGAGATTACTTCAGACTCCAATGAGGAATGAAGGGTGTGCACGCTCAGTCGTGTCCGACTCTTTGTGACCCCATGGACTGTAGCCCACCAGTCGCCTCTGGCCATGGGATTCTCCAGGCAAGAATCCTGGAGTGGGTTGCTGTTTCCTCCTTCAGGGGATCTTCAGACTCCAGCCCACTCCCAGTTTCAGATGGGACTTGTTGACTACTCACCGGCAGATTTCTTTTTTGCTTTGTTATGATCTTGTTTCTAACAATCTAATTATTAATAGTCATGAGGATGGAAGCAAAAACTCACAGAGCTGATATTGTCTCTGGCACTGTTCCAAGAACTTTCCACGGTCCTGTTCAAACCAATAATCCTGTGAAGTAGCTACACTTATGATTCCATTTTACAGACAGGAAACAGACAGGGGCTTGGAAAGCCTAAGACTTTCCCAGGATTATACTATGCGGGGGGCAACAGAGATGAGATTTGAACCTGACAGACTCATGTTCCAAAGTCTTTGCATCTTTCATCACTATGCTATACTTGTAAAATGTAAGTCTCTTATAAGACAGAAGGGGACAACAGAGGATGAGATGGTTGGATGGCATCACCGACTTGATGGACATGAGTTTGAGCAAGCTCCGGGAGTTGGTGACGGACAGGGAGGCCTGGTGTGCTGGAGGCCATGGGATCGCAAAGAGTTGGACACTAACCTGAACTGATACGTCTCTTAATCTGAACAACTGAACTGAACTGATAAGTCTCTTAATCACCTTTTTTTTGGGTCAATCTGAAACCCTTGAATTTCTTTATTATGTTTCCTTCTTCTATACTTATCACTATGCCTCTGTTATTAAAAAAAAAATTTAATGGGAATATTTGTAATCTACTAGGATGTGTGTGTACTGAGTCTCTTAGCCATGTCTGACTCTCTGTGGCCCCATGGGCTCTCTGTAGCCCACCAGGCTTTTGTGTCCATGGGATTTCCCAGACAAGAATACTGGAGCAGATTACCATTTCCTGCTCCAGGGATCCTCCCAAAATAATTTGATCTAAATGCATCATTTTTATCCTTTGATTACTACTTATTACCATGATTACGCCTTTTCGCTTCATATAGCTAGTGTAGGGAGACACCTGGTGGTGATCCAGTTTTTTAAAACTTCTCATTATGGAAAATTTCACATAAACACACTGGCGTGCTGCAGTCCATGGGGTCACAGAGAGTCAGGGACACGACTGGATAACAACAACATACACAGGAGAGAATAATAAATCCCTTCTATACCCATCACCCAGCTTCAACAATTATGAGCATTCTGCCATTCTATTATCATCTTCACCTCCATCCACTCTGGATCCTCCACTCACCATTTGATTATTTTTATGGTTCTTTTCAAAACAGAATTTATGTGTATCAAAATGCACAACACTGTAGCCATTTATCTTAACAAATAGATACACCCATGTAACTCCATAGCTGCACCAAGTTAGAGGATGTTTCTATCACTCCAGAAGTGTCCTCGGCCAGGCAATCCCCCATAACCAGGCAACAGTTGTGATTTTCACTGTAGATTAGTTTTGCTTGTCTCAGAATGTCATATAAATGGAATCATACAGCATGCAGCCTTTTGTGTCTGAGTTCTTTCCCTCGGCATAACGTCTGTGTCTTTGTACACACCTGTCGCTTCTCTTTTACTGCTGTACCCAGTCTATTGTATAGATGTTCTACTTCCGTTCTCTGGCTGATGGGAACTTGGATTGTTTCCAGTTTGGGGCCATCGTGAATAAACTTGATGTAAACCTTCATGTTCCAGTCTTTTTGTGGACCTATGTCTACATTCCTCTTGTGTAAATACTTCGGAATGGAATTGCTGCCATCAAAGGGTAGAGGCTTGGTTAACTTCATTAGAAACTGCCAGACCTTTCCCCAGTGATTCAGCCAGTTGGTCTTCCTGCCAGCAATGTATGAAAATTCGATCGTTTCACATCCTCGAGAATATTCAATGTCGTCTTTTTCATTTAAAGTCTTCCGGTGGCACCTCATTGATCCTAAGGGTGCATTTCTCTGATGACTAATGATGTTGAGGACTTTTTTATGTGCTTATTGACCGTCTGTCTGTCTTCACCTGTGAAGAATCCATTCAAGTCTTTTGCCCAGTTTATGTTAGGTCTGAGTTTTTGGTTTTGTTTTTCTTTTAACTGAGCTGAGTATTTTACTCTAGATACAAGTTCTTTGCAGGTATATAATTCATGAACATTTTTTTTGCCAGCCTGTGGCTGGCTGATTTATTTCTTAACAGTGTCTTCTGATGGGAAGGTTGATGTTTGATGAAGTCTAAAGGGCATGATAATAGCACATCACAGGGTCAGAATGAGGATCAATAGAGATAATACATGTCAAACGGTTAGTGTCATGCTGAAGCAGTGAATGCTGAGTCCCTGGCAGCAGCTGCTGGTGCTATAGTTACTGCTTTCTCTATCATTACTTGTATCCCTAACCAGATCATAAATGCTGAATGAAGAAAGCATAGTGTAATCTCTGCTCTCAGCTGTCCCCAGGATCTAGGATCTTGCTATTTCCATACTAGACATGCGATAAAAATGACATGATAAGTAAGTTGCTGAGAAGGTTGTGTTTTCCGTAGAAAGAAGAAGTGAGACGCAAGCACATCCGTCTGCACATGGAAGGAGCGCTGACCGCCCGGGACAAGGTCGGGGTGCAGGATTTTGTGCTGCTGGATGCGTACACCAGCGAATCTGCTTTTCTGGACAACCTCCGCAAGCGTTTCAGCGAGAATCTCATCTATGTAATGTAACTCATTTCTCAGCTGTTTTTCCTTAAGTGGTGGTTCCCTTCTGGTCTTTGGCCTTTTAAAAAAAATTATTTAATTTGTTTAGCTGCACTGGATGTTAGTTACAGCATGTAGGATCTAGTTCCTTGACCAGGGATCAAACCTGGGCCCCCTGCATGGGGAGGGTGGAGTCTTAGCCCCTGGACCCCCAGGGAAGTCCCCCGGTCTCTAGTCCTGATGGTTGTGAACAGTATCACTCTAGGTTAACCATCAGAGGGGGCGTGTCCAGGGAGCACTGTCAGATGCCCTGTGATCCTTTGTTTTAAGACCTCTCTGGCTGCCCATGCTGGAGACCCAACTAAAATCAGTCTAAGCCCCGAGAGAGAATCTGTCAACCTATATAACTTCAGGGTCCAGAAGTAGATCTCTAGGGTCTAGGATGATGTCTTGAGGACTCTTTCCCAGCCCTCTGCTTTCTTTTGCATCAGTTTCCTTCTGCGGCAGCCTCTCTGCACAGTGGCAAGGTGGCTGCCAGCAGAACCAGGCCTTTCTTAACACAATAAGCAGAGCAGTCTTGATCACTTGGTTGTTAGTCTGTCCGCCAATGCTAGCTAGGTTTCCTGACAGTGGAGACATCTCCTCCCCCCACTCCCCACAACACAACCTGACTTATTTATTGTGTTGTATCCCCAGTACTGAAGGGGCACATGGGGATCGTAGCACATGATGGTCTTTGGCCAGAGCCATTTGCACCCTGGAATTCCTCACTAGAGCTTTGGTCTGTCCCTCTAGACATATATTGGGACCCTCCTTGTGTCTGTGAACCCATACCAGGAGCTGGGAATCTATACTCTGAGCCAGATGGAACTTTACCAAGGGGTCAGCTTCTTTGAACTGCCACCACATGTGTAAGTAGCTCCCATGGAATCAGCAATAGAAGTATTTTTCTCTTTCTGCCTCTCTTTCTCCCCCCTCTCTCCTTTCACCACATATGTCCACCTATTACCCACCCACCTACCCATCCATCCACCCATCCATTATCCACCCCATTCATCCATCATCCAACCACTTGTCCATCCATCCACCTATCCATCCATCCACTTGTCTACTCATCCATCCATTCACCCCCACACACACCCATCTACCCCTTCATCCATCCATTCATCCATCCACCCATTATCTATCTAACTATCCATCCATCCACCCACACACTCACCCACATACCCACCCACCTATCCGTCTATCCATCCACTAGTCTACGCATCCACCCATCCACCTANCATCCACCCACCCACCCATCCATCCATCCATCCATCCATCCATCATCCACCCCATTCATCCATCCATCTATTGATCTATTCATCCACTTGTCTACTCATCCATCCATTCACCCACACACCCATCCATCCACCCACACACCCATCCACCCATCCGTCATCCACTCCATTCATCCATCCATCTACCTATCTACCCACCTACCCAACCTACCCATCCATCCATCCACCCACTCATCTATCCATTCATATACCCATCCATTTACATTCTTGTTGCATGCTCATTAGGTTCTGTGCCTTACTTAAATTACTCCCTTCTTCTGAAATAAATCTTTCAACACAATGGAAAACATCAGCAGATCATTATCAGATCTCATTTTAATTGTGATGAAAGGTGGAATCTTTGAATGACTGCTGCCGCTAGAGTTACCTTCTCTGGGAAGTGGGTTGCTATAGTGCCACCTACTGGCGCTTGACTATCATGGCCGCTGAGTAGAAGGCCGGTGACTAGGAACTTAGCAGGACTGGCGATCCGGAAGAAAAGCAATATTCTGCCTGGTCTGTATGTTACTCTGGGGCTTTGATGAATTTCCCTCTTCTCCTCCTTGGTTGACTTTTGGGCTATTAAGTTCTTGCTTCCTTTTTCTTGGTGATTCAACTATTCCACTCCCAAGGCGTTTATAAATCTTTCTGCCTCACCACCAATAGCGATCACAGAAAAATACTCAGCTTTCAAACGGCCACATCCTACGAGTATACCCCGGGAAACCTTCATGCTTCAGTTTCTGATCTTGTAGATAAAGCCTCTATAATAGTGCCCTAAGCTCTGTTTTTAAAACAGAAGTTTTTAATTTTTTTTTTTTGTTTCCTATCTCTATATATTTAGTATTTTAGGTTTTGAAGGAAAAAAATGAGCTCTTATATCTGTTGTATTATTTAATATTTAGATAAGATGTTATTTCCAGCTACATTTAATAGAACATCTCTTGGCGATGTAATTTAGTACATAGATTATTCTTATAAGAAATGTTGATTGATTTTTTTTTTCTTCCATTTATTTTTATTTGTTGGAGGCTAATTACTTTACAACATTGCAGTGGTTTTTGTCATACATTGAAATGAATTAGCCATGGATTTACATGTATTCCCCATCCCGGTCCCCCCTCCCACCTCCCTCTCCACCCGATCCCTCTGGGTCTTCCCAGTGCACCAGGCCCGAGCACTTGTCTCATGCATCCAACCTGGGCTGGTGATCTGTTTCACCCTAGATAATATACATGTTTCGATGCTGTTCTCTTGAAACATCCCGCCCTCGCCTTCTCCCACAGAGTCCACAAGTCTGTTCTATACATCTGAGTCTCTTTTTCTTTTTTTGCATATAAGGTTATCGTTACCATCTTTCTAAATTCCATATATATGTGTTAGTATACTGTAATGGTCTTTATCTTTCTGGCTTACTTTGCTCTGTATAATGGGTTCCAGTTTCACCCATCTCATTAGAACTGATTCAAATGAATTCTTTTTGATGGCTGAGTAATATTCCATGGTGATTTTTTTTAATTGGTAAATTCTGAAAATTTTTTATTCCTGCCCCAAGTCTTCACTTTAACTTTTCAACTGTTAGAGTTTGGGGGTTTCCCTGGTGGCTCAGACGGTAAAGAATCCGCCTGCAATGCAGGAGATCCAGATTCCATTCCTGGGTCGGTAAGATCCCCTGGAGAAGGGAATGGCTACCCACTCCATTATTCTTGCCTGGAGAATCCCATGGACAGAGGAGCCTGGCAGGCTGCAGTGCATGGGGTTGCAAAGAGTCGGACATGATTGGTTGAGTAATACACATTAGAAGTTTCCTATCTAGTGGGTAATGGTGAAGGTTTGCCAGCTCTCTGAGCTAAGTGCCTGGTACCACAGTCTGGATGTAGCTTCTGAGAGGCCAGGTAGTTTGTCCTTCTGCTCTGATGGGTATCAGAGCCAAGGGAAGTAGTGTTATAGTCACCTTACACTCCTTCTTTTAAAAAAAAAAAATTTGTTTGCCTGCACTGGTCTTTATTGCAGCAACATGGGATCTTCAGTTGCAGCCTATGAACTGTTAGTTGTGGCATGTGGGATCTAGTTCCCTGGCCAAGGATCAAACCCGGGCCCCCTGCATTGGGAGCTCAGAGTCTTAGCCACTGGACCGCCAGGGAAGGCCCTACCCCTGCCGTTTCTGTCTCACTCCTTCTCCAGCTATGCCATAGCTGACAACGCTTACCGCATGATGTGCTCGGAGCTAAATAACCACTTCATCCTCATTTCTGGAGAGAGTGGGGCAGGGAAAACAGAGGCCTCCAAGAAGATCCTCCAGTATTTTGCAGTGACCTGCCCGATGACCGAATCACTGCAGAGAGCCCGTGACCGACTGCTGTTCTCCAACCCAGTGTTGGAGGTAAGTGACCTTTAAGGACCTAGAAAGGGGAGTTCCAGGGAGGTCACTTAGGAAGAAGAGCCTCTGCTCGGGTGGGTCGGTCAAAATGGGCAGGTCTGGGAGTTAAGAAGAGAACAGATTACATGGGCAGTACAATTGGTTCCTTGCACACGAACAAATTGCATTCTGATAGAGCGCTCGTAAGTCCAATTTGTTTTTAAGTCCAACAGAGTTAGCCAAGTACCCAACTAACACAATCAGCTATACAGTACTGTGCTGTAATAGGCTTATAATGCTTTTCACATAGATAATACATAAACAAGTAAACATTTTTAGTCTTATAGTACAGTGCCTTGAAAAGTGCAGTGGTGTGTACAGCAGCTGGCATCCAGGGGCTGGCATCGAGTGGACAGGCAGGAAGCGTGACTGCCTGGAGGGGGGAGCGGAGGTAGGACATGGTAGAGCTGAAGGGTCATCAGCAACAGGAGATGGAGGGCAGGCTGCACTCACTTACATGACTGGACATGCAAGCGCATGTTTGCATCTTTGAAAGCTCACACCTCGAAGGTTCATATATAGGGGACTTACTATACTATTAATATATAGTTCATTGTGTTAATTGGGTACCTAAGCTAACCTTGTTGGGCTTACAAACATGCTTTCAGAACAGAACTTGTTTGTATGTAGGGGACTTACTGTATCGTGGTGAAGGGTGTGACCTTGAAGTCCAGCAGGCATGGAGACCAATCCCAGGACGATCACGTACCAGCAAGCTTCTGCATATCATTCATATCCTGGAGCCAGTTCCCCATCTGGAAAGTGGATCTACTCATAGTACCTGCCTCTTAGGAGGTTTTGAGGATTAAACAATATGAATGCATAAAAAACAAGATGAATTTTTTAAAAAATGTGTTTCTCTCATAGCTCAGTAAAGAATCCGACTGCAGTGCAGGAGACCCAGGTTTGATCCCTGGGTCAGGAAGATCCAATGAAGAAGGGAATGGCAACCCACTCCAGTAGCTGCCTGGAGAATCCCACGGACAGAGGAGCCTGGCAGGCTACCGTCCATGGGGTCGCAAGAGTCGGACATGACTTAGTGACTAAACCACCATGCATAAAAAGCACACAGCAGAGTTAGTGAGCACTAAAATAATACTGTATTATTCATTAATATTTTTATTGATTAAAATAATCTTGATTGTTATTTTTACTACTGCAATTCTCTGACCTGTTGATGATTTTGAATGTTATTTTCTCCTGTGTTTTTGTTGCTCTTTGTGTAAAAGGCATTTATGGTTGAAGGGATTTTCCCAGTAGACCTTTGGGCTGAACAGTTTACATCAATACTAAAGGAAGATGTCTGCTGATGGGGGCCAGCAGTGATGCCTTCTAGAACAGCCAGGGCCTACGGTCCTATCTAGCTCTCCTTGCGTGCGTGCTGAGTCACTGCGGTAGTGTCCAACTCTTTGCAACCCACCAGTCTCCTCTGTCCATGGGATTCTCCAGGCAAGAATACTGGAGTGGGTTGCCGTGCCCTCCTCCAGAGGATCTTCCAGACTTAGGGACCGAACCTGCATCTCCTGCGACTCCTGCTTTGCAGGCAGATTAAGCCACCTGGGAAGCCCCAGCCTCTCCTTCGGCCCTTTCTAATCTACTCCTAGAGTGGATTCTAGAGAGAAGATGTTTTTCCTTTCTTTTCTCTGGGTTCAACTCAAATATTTGGCATCAAATGCTCTGTAAATAGTGATTTCTTCTTAGCAGATAAAGTGTGGCTTCCATTCCTGGCTCCCCCTTCTCTCCTCCAACGAGGTCAGGAATTCTATGAACAGGAGAGCTTCAATGTCAACGAATGACAGATGGGTTCAGTGTCCCCTCCCTTTGTATTCCAAGGCTTTTGGAAATGCCAAAACACTCCGGAATGACAACTCCAGCAGATTTGGAAAATACATGGACATACAGTTTGACTTTAAGGTACACTGACGTTCCTATTACTGCTTCCTGGGGACCCCTTAACTTGAGAGCAACAGAAAGTCAACTCAAGGAACCTTAAGAGAGGAAGGGTTTTCTTCTTGGCTCAAATAGTTGAAAAGTCTAGGGTTAGCAATAGTTTTAGGAAATGCCAATAAAGACCATAATGACATAGCATATTAGTATGTGGGCAAAAATGAAGAAGTATGGTGATACCAGGTGTTGGCAAAGATGTGAATCATGAGGAATTCCAACACATAGCTGGTGCAAGGGGTGTATTTGGTCAAACCCATTTGGAAAACAGTGTATCATCTTGGGGTGCTGAAATCACATAATCTAAGGTGGAGCCATTCCACTCCTGGAAATATTCCTACAGATGTGTAAGCATGGCCTCAACAGCACTGCTCATGAAGGTAAAGGGACTGGAAAGAACCAACACATCTGGCCAGGACTGAATGCCCGTCAACAGGAGAAGGGCCCAATTGTGGGATCTCACACGATGAGGCGTATTATGGCAGCGAGAGCATGTCAGCACCAGCTGCATGCAACCTAGACAGGTCATGAGAATGTACGCGGTGTCAGCGAGATGCCATTTCTTACAAAGCTTGAAAACATTCCAGAGTAAATAATCTATTTACTTAGGCATATGTGATTATATGACATGAGTTGGCAAACTTACATGGATAGGGTCAGATAGTAAATATTTTAGGCTTTGTGGACTGTACAGCCTCTGTCCCAACTACTCAGCTCCACTGTTGTAGCATGAAAGTAGCCAGAGAAGATATATAATGTATTGTACACAGAGTTTAAATGGGGGCTCATGCAAGTAGGAGGGGTAGGCAGAGTTCTCAGGGACATATAATTCCAAGTGACACCTTAGGTTAGAGAACAGTAGCTGGCTGAGCGTTTAGTACAGTGATGAAGACAGACTGATTAAGGATTTCCCAGAGGCTGAAACATGGGTTTCTGGTCATGCATGCACGGACTTTGAAAAAATTTTAATAGCATACATATTTTTAAGCTTTTTTTAGCATCCAACACATACTAAAAAGGACACAGCTCATGGCCACAGCTCAATAAATTTTTCCATTTGAATCTACCTGTGTAACCACCACTCATCTCAAGACATTAACATTTCCAACACTTTGAAATTTCTCCTACCCATCTCTGACAAATAGCTGCCCCCTGCTTCCCAAAAGTTATCACTGTGCTGGCATCTATAATCACAGGTTCATTTTGCTGGTTCTTGAGCTTCGGAAAAAATGGAATTATATAGTTGTTCTATTTCATGTTTGGCCTCTCTGAATCAGCATGTCTTGTAAGATTCAACTGTGTTGCTGTGTGGAGTTGATCATTTTTTGATTGCTCAACTTTTATCACTGTTTATCTGTTCTCCTGTGGTGGACATTTGGTTGTTTCCAGTCTGGGGCTAGCTATTGCAAGCAGTGCTCTGAACATTCTTGTACCTCTTTCAGTAGATATAAGCACTCATTTATGCTGGGTGTATACCCAGAAGTTGCATTGCTGGATTCTTACCAGCAATGTTATAACTGAGAGTTCCAGTTTTTCCACGATCTTGCCAACATTTGGTATTGTCAGTCCTTTAAATCTTAGGCATTCTGGTGGCATATAGTGGTTTCTCACTATAGTTTAAATTTGTATCTCCCTCAGTTTTAATGAAGTTTTGCTCATTGGTTCCTGAAAGACCCTTTTGTAGTATATTAAAGTCTTTTGCTCATTTTTAACTGGGTAATTATTTCTCATTGATTGGTGAGTGTTCAATATATGTCATGGAATACAAATCCTTCATTGAATATATTATTTAAAACAATAATTAAGACAATAATAATTAATATTGGCATAAGAATATATTGACATTAAGAGGCTGATGGCCCAGAACAGAGGCTAGAAATGCCCTGGCTTTCCTTACCTATATGGTCACCAGACTTATGACCAAAGCACCACTGAGATTCAGTATCAATAAAATTGTCTTTCCAATAAGTGGTGGTCAACTGGAAATCCATAAGGATAAAGAGAACTTTGGCCTCTGTTTCACTCCATATACAAAACTTAAATCATGATGGATCATAGTCATCATGATAAACATGGATGGTAAAACAATTTATCCTAAATGAAAACAGAAAATATCTTTATCACCTTGGGGGGGTTAGGGATGGAACCCAGAAAACGTGACTCTTAGAAGAGGGATAGACTAGGTTGATTCAGACTCACAATTTCAGTTCATCAGGAGACACCAGTAAGAGAGTGGCCTTGATTGTTGCCTTGGCTGGATTTTTGTTCTCTTTTGAAGGGCATTCCTGTAGGTGGGCATATCATCAGTTACCTGATAGAAAAGTCTCGAGTCGTCTATCAGAATCAGGGCGAGCGGAATTTCCACATCTTCTACCAGCTGCTGGAGGGTGGAGAAGAGGAGCTCCTTGCTTACCTGGGACTGGAGCGAGACCCCCAGCTGTATAAATACCTCTCACAGGTTGGAAGGGCCATAACTTGTCTCTGGTGCCCCTTTGGTGGTGGTGGGGGGGGAGGTTGGTTCTGTGGGATGTTCAATAACTTCCTTATGGCCATATTACTGGATCCTGATGCCACAGTGCCTTTGAAAATGGCTCAAGCAATTCACCAGTATTATTTTGATTGGTCTCATGATCTTCTGTGACTTTGGCCCGTGCTTTGCAGTATATTTGCACTGTTTCCAAACCTCTAGGTGTTCTTTAAGGTTTGACTTAAACTAGCCCTGTCTTTGAACGGGAGGGAGTCCGTGGTGCTGGTTGTGTGGGAGGGATATTTGGGAGGTTGAAGGTTTGACATCCCAGTTCACTGGTGAGTATTTTCATGGTACGACATCTTTGTTTTCACCATGCAACAAGGAACTCTTTAGCCATGTGTTAATGACAAGAATGACTGGAAAACTGTTTCCAATGCCTTTTCTGTCATCGATTTTACTAAAGATGATCTTGAGGTATGAGCCCCTTGAGGGTGGAGCTCCTTGTGGTAGGGCCTGGGGTTGGGGAAACCATCCTGGTTTCCTGGTGATGCCGCAGAGTTGCCAGAGTGAGCAAATAAAGATACAGGATGCCTAGGAACACTGAATTTCAGATAAACACCGGCTAGTTTTTTAGTAGAAGTATGTCCCAACATTGTGTGGGGCAAGCTTCATGCTAAAAAAAATTAGACATTGCTTACTAACACAACATTGTAAAGCATCATTACTCCAATAAAAATTTTTTAACTATAAAGAATTAAGCACTAGACATTGCTTATTTGAAATTTGAACTTTAGTTGGGCATTCTGCATTTTATCCAGCAGATCCAAGTTTTCCCAGTATTGGGTGCCAGGAGGGAGTCGTGTTTCTTCTTCCTCTCAAACCCAGTCTCAAATATTTAATCCTCTAGAGTGCTAGGAATATCATTTATTTAAATCATTTATTTTATATTGGAACAAGTTGGACCAAATTGTAGGATTTATAAACATTTTGTTTTTACATCTTTTTGTCTTTTTGGGGGGGGGGTGAGGGGGGATTGTGAAACTGTTGACCTTTCAAGGACCAGGATATAATTTTTAAAAAATTTACGTGTGTGTGTGTGTGTATCTGGGGCCATGGCATTTGAACACTGGATGGCTTATAGGCAGGGGACAAAGGTAGGTACCAGAATAGTAGTGTTCCATGCTGGACATAAGTGAGGGAGCATCCTGCCCTCCACTGAGGCTCCTTCCCCCTTCCCTTAATATCAGAAGTGGATGAGAGCCCACAGGGCCAATTTCTAGGGAAGGATCTGTGACTCCAGTCTGGAGTTAGGGGTGGGGGGGCGGTTCTCCCCCGGGTACCACCTCTGATGATGTTTATCAATCAGGCGGCCACAGTCTTCTCTCCCTGCCCTCCTCACCACTTCCCATGTTCCTAGAATCTCTTTGGAATTATTGCCAGTGTCCTGCACCTGGGGAACATTTGTTTTGAAGAGAACCAGCAAGGCTGTGCCTCTGTACCAGACACTCATGAGATCAAATGGATCGCCAAGGTGATGGTCCACTTTGGGAGAGTGGGGGTGGGCGGACAGGAGAGGCCCCAGACCCTGTCAGAGATGGAGGGGCGGGGGAGGGGAGCAAGGCAGCTGGGTGCCCATGTCCCAGAGGGCTCATCTTGCTCTTGCACTTGACACTGGTTAGCAGGTGGGCAAGGGAGTGAGTAAAAGCCAGTCAGTTGAAAGACCAAACATGGGCTGTGCTTTGCACAGATATGGTCTATGTTGCACAGATGTGGTCTGTGTTGCCCCAGAACACGATTAGCAGGAGGAAAAGGTGAACCTGGGCCTGGAGACACCACTGACTTTTTCCTCGGGAGTCAAGTTGGGTTGCTGAATGGCATTTTATTTTCCATTTATTCAGCTCCTAGGGGTCCACCCATGGGTCCTTCTGGAAGCTCTCACCCATAGAAAAATTGAAGCCAAAACGGAGGAGGTAAAAATGGCTCTGGGGGGAAATGTGCCCACCCTCCCTGCTGCTGCTGCCAGTAGGTTGGTGGCCCCAGGGGAGGCCAGACTCCTGAATCCTGCCCACCAGGTCCTGTGTGGTCCAGCTTCTGTCAGCCTCTCCAGCCTTAACCTCCCCGATCCCCCGACATCCCACCATCACGAGCTCTTGGTGCTTCACGCCCTCCCTGCCTTCCCTCCGTGGGGTCTTTGCGTGTACTGTTCCCTCTGCTGAAACACCCTTCCCTGTGTTTCACCTAGTTAAAGCCTCCCCATCCTTCATTTCCTAGGGATCACTCCTCAAAGCCCCTCCCCTGCTCATCCCACGCCTGCCCTAAAGCAGCATGTGTGTCTCCTTATAGCGCTGGTCACTCTCAGCTTCAGAACTATGGGATGCTTCTTTGTGTGACTTGTTGAATGCTGTGCCGCGCTCAGTCATTCAGTCATGTCCGACTCTTTGCAACCCCATGGACTGTAAGCCCACCAGGGTCCTCTGTCCATGGGAGACTCCAGGCAAGAATACTGGAGTGGGCTGCCATGCGCTCCTCCAGGCGATCTTCCCTACCCAGGGGTCGAGCCTGCGTCTCTTATGTCTACGGCATTGGTAGGCAGGTTCTTTACCAGTAGTGTCACCTGGGAAGCCCTGGCTTGTTGAATGCCTTCTGCCAAATATGAGCCCACAGAGGCTGAAGCTGTTTGTCTTGGTTGAGGCTGTATCTCAGCACAGGCGGTAGGTTCTTCCCCCATCAAGTATCCTTCTCTAGTCATCTTTACTTTATTTATTTATTTGGCTGTGCCAGGCCTTCATTGCGGCACGTGGGATCTAGTTCCCTGACCAGGGATTGAACCTGGGTCCCCTGCATTGGGAGCCCAGTCTTAGCCCCTGGACCATCAGGGAAGACCGCTCTCCTCCCCCAGTCATCTTTAAAGCCTGGGTTGAAAACTCTGGGGGCTTTTTAAATTTTTTAACCTCTGTAGTGAAGTACCTGTTGTTCTTCTCAGGTGATCTGCCCACTGACACTGGAGCTCTCTGCCTGCGCTAGAGACGCGATGGCAAAGGCTGTTTATGGGCGAACGTTTACTTGGCTGGTCAACAAAATCAATTCCTCCTTAGTTAACAAGGTTGGTCCACGCACATTGGGTGCCTTGGGCTTTTTAACATGGCCATGTTTTAAAACCAACATCTTTAAAGACTTTGTGAGAATTGAGTGTAAGCTCCTGGTGGGCAGAGATACTGTCTTTTCATGTCTACATTTCCAGTCCCTCGCACACAGTAAGCTCACAAAAATGCACTGACAAATGATGTTGTCAGTATGTCCCGAAGTCTGGGATGCATAGCATTTGAAGTGTATACAGAACCTTTTCATTTTTATAACAGTAGTATATTTTAATGTGTATAAGAAAAAAAACAAGACAGCTCCTTTGAACTCACCCTAAGGGTATATTTCCTTTTTAAGCGGAATTATTTAAATTAAAAAGGGAGTTGACACAAAGCTGGAAGTTGAAGCCATGACATGAGGGCACCTGGGTGCCTGGATGTGGTGAGACTCATGGAGGAAATGTGCAAAGGATGGATTTGGATACATTGACTGAGCACATCATACAGAGTGCTACATTGTGTCCCTTAAGAAGAAAAGTCATTTTCTCTTAAAATAGCTATCCTTGCCTGACAGCACTTGGCCCTCTGTTGAAAATGATGTCCAAAATACCTGCTTTCTCTCCTGGATGAACATCTTCCTGCTGTCAGTAGCTCCCTCCCTCTCTCCATCTCTCTTTTTCTTTCCCTTCCTCTTCTCTTTCTCTCTCTCTCTTTTTTTTGGACTGAATGTGGGCTTGGGGGGCTGAGGAGGGCTGAAGCAGGAAGTGAATCAGAAAGGGAAGATCACTCTGTCTACTCTGATGATGAATATGGAAGCCGGGATGGGACCTAGGGAGGCTGCAGGCAGGAGGAGGCAGGATGGGAAAGTTATCTCCACCCTGTTTCTTCTGAAAGCCGTTGTTGGAGAGATAAGATTTATAGCCACATCCCAGATTCAGGGGCAGTTGCCAGATACTGAGTGTTACAAGGTAAACAACCTCAACGATTAATGCTGTGTGTTACTTTGACTAGGACTTTACTGGAAAAACTGTGATTGGATTGCTGGATATCTATGGGTTTGAAGTCTTCGACAAGAATGGGTGAGTTTGTTTGAGTTCATTGTGATCCACTGGTTCTTCATTTTCCTTTAAGGTCTAAGTCTGGTTTATGGCATTTCTGATGTTATTGGAATTCATTTTCCTGTTTCTAGAAATTCTCAAGGTTTGCATAGCCCCTGCCTCATAAACTTTTCTAAACCAGAATAACTACTAAAAATGCGAATGTCTTTTAGTTTGACTCTTCTTCTTATCAGCTTATTAAATTATTTGTTTAATAAGGACTTCAGTTTTCTGTATGGAAAAAGCATCCTTAAAAATAAGTAAATACAATTTTTTTTTACAAAACTTGGCCTACTCACGTAGCTTTAGTTACTTAAATCTTTTGCACCTCCAGTTTTGAACAGTTCTGTATAAATTACTGCAATGAGAAACTCCAGCAACTATTAATTGAGAGAACCCTAAAAGCGGAACAGGCAGAATATGAAATGGAAGGTATAGAGGTAAATGTTTCAATGTTTTCTCCTCATTTGATTTCTTAACCAAGCAAAAGACATCTCCATGAGAAATATCATTTCATTGGAGGTTTTTCCTGATGAGTACTAAGAATTATTTTTCGCTCCTTCTCTGCTTGTTTCCTGGGAAATTATTTTGATATTCAGCAAGTATTCTTTTTGAACTGTTAGAGATAAAAATCAGATTTGGAAAATAAAAGTTGGACAGTCAATTTAAAAGAAATATATTTGATGCTCAATCTTAATCCTTCCTGGAGAATTCTTTTCCTCATTGTCATTTTAGTGGGAACCAATTCAGTATTTCAACAACAAGATCATCTGTGATTTGGTAGAAGAGAGACACAAAGGAATCATTTCCATTCTGGTGAGAAAATTAACGTTGACTTGGGGCCCATTCCACGGTATCCTCAATACTCGGAAGATCTGTTCCCCAGGGTTACAAAGAGTTAAGAGTGAAATCCACTGGATTATTGAAGGATCCAAGTTGAACTCTTCTGTTGAATTTTTACTCCAAGTTTTAGATTGAGCTTTCCCCTCTTATTCAAATTCATCTATGGTTTGCCATAGGTGGATTCAGAGAGCATAGAAATGTTGCTTTGTAAGAATTGTCTTACCAACCTGAACCTAGTATTTTTTCATTTGTTTTAATAAAAGCTACAGTGTTGATTCATTAAAAAAAATTTATATTAGACTGTAGTGCTAGTTTCAGGTATACAGAAAGTGATTCAGTTACATATATACATATATCTATTCTTTTTCAAATTCTTTCCCCATTTAGGTTATTACAGAATACTGAGCAGAGTTCCCTGTGCTATAAGTAGGTCTTTGTTGGTTATCTGTTTTAAATATAGTAGCATGTTCATGTCAATCTTGATTCATTTTTTTAAAAGCTTTATTTCTCAGTCATGTTACATGTTATGGGTCTGCAAGTGGTGGGTGTAGAAGACATTCTCTGCTTCTGTCTTTTAGCCATACTACTTGGCTTGGAGGATCTTAGTTTCCTGACCAGGGATTGAACCCACTCCCCCTGCAGTGGAAGCACAGAGTTCTAGCCACTGGACCACCATGGAATTCTTTTGATTCATTTTTGTTTTTTAGATGGTTAATTAAATGTTATCACTGTTGAGGACCCAAAACAGAAAGTAAAAACAGCTTGTGAACTGCAGAAGGTTAGACTTAACTAGTTTTATGGCTTACTTTTCCTGAAAGCTTTGCTCCTCATTGAAGAGGGTATGTTGTTGGCCAGCTGGCTAAGACTGGTTAAGAGACATTGAAGTTGAGCATCTCAGCTGGTTATGGAAGTTGTGAAGTGTCCCTGGGACGTCTTTGGAAATAGACGTCAGATAGGTGGGAGAGCTGACTTTTCATGGAGTTTCCAGTCCCTTTGGTTCCACGGTTCCCTAAACAGATTTGATAAGATGGATTACCCCTTCCTGCCCCTGGAGATGTTGACCCAGATTTGTGCACAGATGATATATTTAAAACCCACTGCATTTTGCCACAGCTGCTGGGAGCATTTAAACTTGGAATTGATGGAGTGTGGTGCTCTGACCGAAGACTTCTGTTTCTGTTTTGAAGGATGAAGAATGTATTCGTCCTGGTCCTGCTACAGACTTGAGTTTCCTGGAGAGGTTGGAGGAGAAAGTGGGAAAGCATGCACACTTTGAAACGTAGGGGTCTCATTTGCCAGGCTGTTGCATGGGGATGGTCATGTAGTTGTATAGTTGACTTCTAGTGTGTGTGTATATATATGTGTGTGTATATATATGTGTGTATATATATGTGTGTGTGTGTGTATATATATATGTGTGTGTGTGTGTGTATATATATATATATGTATATATAGCTGTATATATATATGGCTGTGCTGGGTCTTAGTCATGGCATACAGAATCTTTAGTTGCAGCATGCAAACTCTTCTGTTACGGCCTGTGGGATCTCGTTCCTGGACCAGGGATTGAGCCTGGGTCTCCTCCACTAGAAGCACGGAGCCTGAGCCACTGGACCACCAGTGAAGCCCCCTGTATAGTTGACCTTTGAATAATACTGGCTTGAACTGTACAGATCCACTCATACATGGGGTTTTTTTTTCCCAATAGTAAATGCTATAGTACTACGTGACCCCATCCGCTGTTGGTTGAATCCATGGATACAGAAGGCCAACTATGAGTTACACACAATTTGTTGACTGTGTGGAATCCCTAAGCCCCATGTTGTTCAAGGGTCAACTGCACATCCATTTTCTTAGGTATGTGGACAGTTCTCCCCAGTAGTATAAAAGTGAAAGTGAATTTTGCTTGGTCGTGTCCTCCTCTTTGTGACCCCATGGACTATACAGTCCATGGAATTCTCTAGGCCAGAATACTGGAGTGGGTATTCTTTCACTTCTCCAGGGGATCTTCCCAACCCAGGGATCAAACCCAGGTCTTCTGCATTGCAGGTGGATTCTTTACCAGCTGAGCCACAAGGGAAGCCCCCTTAGCATAGCTCCCCAGTAGTATAGCTGCTACTAATTTGGTTTTGGCTGGGCTGTGCAGCATCTTAGTTCCCCAACCAGAGATCTAACCCATGCCCTCTGCATCGAGCTCAGAGTCTTAACCACGGGACTGCCAGGGAAGCCCCTAGCTACTAGCTCATACATAGAAGCAGCGTGATGATACACCAGCTGCACAGCTTTCATTGGTAGGAGTCAAGCTCATGTGAATTCCAAGTAGAATTCTTTTTTTAAGATTTTGTGTCTTTATCTATCATCCTTTCATTTTGGGCATGTCCACATGCATGAGATAGTCAAAAAAAATCAAGTGTAAAGCACATGCAGTGATGTGTGTAGATCTGAAGTGTGCAACCTGGTGAATTATTACATGTGTGTGTACTCACATCGCCACCCCACAGATGAAGACACAGAGCATTTAGAGTCCCAGAAAGTCAACTAGAAATGTAACACACTCTGAGACGAGGAGGAGCGAATTTAAGGGCATGTGCTCTGGAGTCATAGGGACCTGGTTTTGAATCCCAGCCCAGACACTTAATAGACATGTGACTTTGGGCAAGCAGTAAGTACTCCTGAGTTTGAGTTTCCCCTTCTATAAGATGGGATAATTAATATGCCTGCCATATAGCATTGTAAATGATCACATAAATCACCTAGTGTAATTTCTGGCCATGGCACATATTCAATATATGGTAGTGGCTTTATCAAACCTATAGAGTATTGAAAGGATAAGTGAATGGAATTGGACAAGTATATGAATCAAGATTGCAAAAATAGGACTTCCCTGGTGGCTCAGCGGTAAGGAATCTGCCTCCCAATTCAGGAGACACAGGTTTGATCGCTGGTCCGGGAAGGTCCCACCTGCCTTGCAGCAACTAAGCTCATGCACCACAACTATTGAGCCTGTGCTGAGCCTGGGAACTGCAGCTACTGGAGCCTGGAGCCCACGCCCTGCAGCCGGAGAGTAGTCCTGTTCTCCACAGCTAGAGAAATGTCCGAGCAGCAACAAAGACCCAGCACAGCCGAGAATAAAGAAATACATTTCTTTTTAAAGATTGGAAAAATAAACTGTAACATCTTTACAGATGGGATAATGTATGGCCAGGAGAATGAACAATCTAAATACATGCAATGATGCAGATAAATCACACAAACATGTAATCAAGAGAAATCAGACACACAAAAGTACACTCTATATGGTTCCATTTCCCTAGAGTATAAAACCAGGTTAAAAACAACCTATTCTGTTAGATGTCAGATTGTACCTGGAGAGAGCTCAAGGTGGGGGGTTCTCAGGGACTAGAAATGTTCTGTCTTTTTTGATCTGGTGATATTTGCACAGGAGAATTCGGTTTGCAAAAATTCATTGAGCTGTGCAGTTCAGATATGTGTGCTATCAATATACTTGTATATGCTTTTCAAGAACAGTTGTAAAAAATTGTAGATCACCCGAATCTGAAAAACAGTATTTCGTGAGTATTTTAGTCTCTCCACATCATACAAATGTAAAGTAGTAAAATCAGTTTTTAGTCATCACCAAGAAAAATGAGCATTATTTCATTGTACAAATAAATGTGTTTGTGTGGCTCATGTACATTTTTCATCCCTCAGTGCTCATGAGAAGGAAGGGTTTAATGTTAGCGAGACCTCGGTCTGTGGCGGGAAGAAATAGTTGAAATAGATTTCAGTGCTGACCTACAGCTGATTGTCACAATCCTAAACAGGTCTTGTGCTTTATACGTTGGTGCATTTTGTCGCAGTGAGGTAGAAAGGTTCAGCCCCGTCTGTTTCTGTCCTGCTATAGCCGGAAGCTGGCAGGTCCGAAGGGCAGAAAGAAGATTGGCTGGATGGAGTTCCGGCTCTTCCACTACGCGGGAGAGGTCACATACTGCACCAGGGGTGAGTGTCTGGGGGGTAAAGGTCACAGGTCACAGCCATGCAGGTGCCCCCGAGTCCACTCTAAACATGCTGCATATCCATCTCAAATGTTCCCTAGCCCCACTGCAATCACGGCATTTCAGAAATATTTGGGGGACTTCCCTGGGGTCCACTGGCTAAGCATGCCTTAAACGCAAGCATGGTTGGGGAGCTAAGATCGCACAGGAATCGCAGCCAAAAAAACAAAATGTAAAACAGAAGCAACATATATATATTAAAAAAAAAAAAACAACAGAAGCAATATTGCAACAAATTCAATAAAGACTTTAAAAATGTTCCACATGAGAAAAATATTTTTTAAAGTATTATAAAATGTAGTAATTTTATATATAACTACTTTATGGAGATAATTCACATAGCCTCTGTTTCACTCCTTTAAAGTGTACAATTGAACAGTGTTTAGTGTAGCCACTGTGCATTTGTGCAACTGTCACCACATTCCATTTTAGAATCACCCCATCACCCCAAAAAGAACCCCTATACACGTTAGCAGGCACTCCGCATTTTCCCCTAGCCCGTCTTCCAGAGCCCTGGGCAACAAACCAGTCAACTTTCTGTCTGGAGATTTGCCTATTCTGGACATTTCATAAAAATGGAATTATGCAACGTGCGGGCTCTTGTGTCTGGCTTCCTTCCCTTAGAATAATGTTTCCAAGGTTCATCCATATCGTCGTTCCTGTCTAATTGCCAGATGATGTTCCACTGTATAACTGCACGGCATTTTGTCTGTTCGCTCATCAGCCGATGGGCGTTTGGGTTTCCACTTTGGGGCTGTTATGAATGACGCTGCTGTCAATATGACTGTGGTTTTGTGTGGTCGTATGTTACCCTTTCTCTTGGGTAAATACCTGGGTGTGGAGTTGCTGGATCCTGTGATAACTTTATTCTTAATTTCTTGAGTACCTGCCAGACTGGTTTTCCAAAGTGGCTACACCATTTTGCTTTCCTACCAGCAGTGTAGGGGGTCTCAGTTTCCCTATTTCCTCATCAACACTTGGCATTGTCTGTCTTCTGATTCCAGCTATCCTAGCTGGTGTGAAGTGGTGGTTTGGATTTGCATTTTCCTAATGCTGAGTGATGTGGAGCATTTTTCCTTGTGCTTAGTGGCCATTAGCACTTCTTCCTGGGAGAAATGTCTGTTGAGATCCTTTACCCATTTTTAAAATTGTTTTTGTTATTAGTATTGAGTCATATGGTTCTTTATGTTCTAGCTACAAGTCCCTTATCAGAGAGATGGTTTGCAAGTATTTTCTTCAATCTGTGTGTTATCTTTTCCACCATCTTGATGGCATCCTTCAAAGCCCAAAAGTTCTTAACTTTGATAAAGGCCACTTTGTTCTCTGTTACTTAGCATAATGTTTTCACCGTTCATCCCTGCTGTTACTATTTTTTAATTGCTAAATAAGATTCCACTGCATGGTTGCACCACATGTTGTTTATCCCTTCATCAGTTATCTGCATGGGGGGTGTTTCCACTTTCTTGCTTTCATGAGTAATGCTGCTGTGAACATTTTGTAAGACATTTTTCATACATTTTCTTTTTTCACCTCTGCTTTAGGTTCTAGATAATTTTTACTTCTACATAAATTCATTTCACTAAAAAGCTTTAAAAAATACCATGTATTAGGGGAGTTTTTTCCCTTAAATATATAGTGGTATGAAAAGAAAAGTGAAAGTCACTCAGTCGTGTCCAACTGTTTGTGACCCCATTGTCTATGCAGTCCATGGAATTTTCCAGGCCAGAATACTGGAGTGGGTAGCCTTTCCCTTCTCCAGGGGATCTTTCCAACCCAGGGATTGAACCCAGGTCTCCTGCATTTCAGGCAGATTCTTTACCAGCTGAGCCACAAGGGAGCCCAAGAAGGGAAAAAAAAGTTAAATAGGACAAATCTCTTTTAAGTAGATAACCTACTGATTTTTGTTTAAAGAATAAAGTAATAGACATGTAGGGTTTCCTTGGTGGCTCAGTGGTAAAAAAGAAAAATCTACCTGCCAATGCAGGTGAGGGTTCAGTCTCTGGGTCAGGAAAATCTGAAGAAGGAAATGGCAACCCACTCCAGTGGGTTTTGCCTGGGAAATCCCATGGACAGAGGCGCCTGGTGGGTGCCACGGGGTCAAAATGAGTTGGACACGACTTAGTGACTAAACAACACACATGTAAGGCTAGAAATTGCTCACAATACAGAAAGGTACAGAAGGAAAACTAAAAAGCCCTTTTATGCCTAGTCTCTCCCTGAGGTAACCACAAGAACCAACTGGAAAATAAAAATATCTTATGCATATAATTATATACGTGGGGACGTGTATGCCCACACATCTAAATAACACAAATATACATCTAAACAACACAGATTGTTATTTTGTGTTATCTCCTTTGCATTTTACATTTAATAGATATTGGTGATCATTTGGACTCCAACTAATAACATCCATTAAATGCTTTCTATGCACCAGGTCCTGTCCCAAATGCTTTACCTCTGTCGCTTGTTTAAACCTCACAGAACTCAGGGATGTGGGTAGCATTATTGGTTCCCTTTTAATCTATGAGACACTGCGCTCAGAGATGTTAAGTAACTTGCCCAAGGTCACTCAGCTAGTACGTGGCAGAGCTGGAGGTCAGACCCAGGCCTTTTGCCTCCAGACTGCATTCACTCTCCATAGTGGCAGATTCCTCCACATTTCTTCTGAAAAGCTACAATCACGCCCCATGGGGCTGTGTCCCGTCACCTGTCTGAAGGCCTCTGGTTGTTCCCAGCTTTGTTTCTTGTAAACAGTGCTGTGTTTGACATCTTTGTATATTTCATTTGGCCAATCTGTGCTCCTTATATGCCTAGGATAAGTTTTTCAGAAGTGGCTTTGCTAAGGTCATCAAAAGTTCATTTTGCCCACTTCTGGGTAGATATCCGAAAAGAACTGAAAGCAGGAGTGTGAACAGGTATCTGTACACCCGTGTACGCAGAGCTTTATTCATAGCAGCCAAAAGGTGGAAGCACCCAAGTGTGCATCGATGGATGAATGGACACGCGAGAAGTGCTCTGTCCTTACAATGGGACATATTTCAGGCTTAAAAAGGCAAGAAATTCTGACACCTGCTACAACATGGATGAACCGTGAAAACATGATGCTAAGTGAAATAAGCCAGACAGAAAAAGACAAATATGAAAGGATTCCACTTATGTAAGGGATGCACTCCAATCCATAAAGACAGAAATAGAACAGTGGTTATCAAGGGTTTCATGAAGCAAGGAATGGGGAATTAGTGTTTAACCTGTACAGAATTTCCACTGGGGGAAAAAGAAAGGAGTTTTGGAGATGGTTGGCTGTGATGGTTGTGCAACAATGTAAATTCATGAAATGCTACTGAACTGCACACTTATAAATAGTTTAAATAGTAAATTTTATATTATGTATCTTTTATCACAACAAAAATTTTAGTTTTGATAACAGTGCCCAAGACAGCCGCCCAAGAACAAAAATGACCCAGTCCCAAATGTCAGTATTGCCCAGTCTGTGAAACTCTTAATTAAGAGATCATTTTTAAGATTTCCCTTTGCAATCAGTATGGAATTATATTTTTGATCAAAGCCATTGATTCAGTTTTTTTTTTAATTCAATGTTTTACAGGATTCTTGGAAAAGAACAATGATCTCCTCTACAGACATTTGAAAGAAGTAAGTCTGAAACTTAACTCTGTGTATTTTTTAAGGCTCCGGGATACTGATTTGGGATTTAACTGTATTTTTTAAGCTGTCCACTCCTTTTTCTGGAAGTATCCCTCTCTAACAGGTCTTACTAAATACATATGTTCCAAGGTTAGCAACCAGTGTGTTCATTGGCAGACATTCACTGAACACCTACTGCATGTCAGGTGCTGTGCTGGGCACAGGGGAATCCAGGAACAACCAAACAGATAGGGGTCCTCCTCTCCTTGTAGGGTTTACAGTCTATAGGAAGATACCATCCATCAAAGAAAGAAATTGCTGTAACGAGCGTCTCATAAAGGACGCTTGGTAACAAGGAGACGGGAAGGTGGTGGAAGGTGACTGGCTCAGCGGTGATGCTGGTTCCTGCAAGGTGCTCACTTCATATTCACTGGGACAGTGCTTGTCCAGCCTCTGCTGGACCAGGTGGAGTTCAGGCTTCTCAGGCCAGAACATCCAAACCCTTCTCTTCATGGGCAAAATGGCTCGTGACTGGGAGTAAGTATTGGGTTGGCAAAAAAATTTCATTTCAGTTTGGCGGTACCCTCCCCGAATGAACTTTTTGGCCAGCCCACTAGAACTAGCCTGTCAAGAGTTCGGGTCTGAAGGACAAGTCTCGGCCTTGAGCCAGTCTTCTCTGTATATGTGGGGAGCAACGCTGTGTGGTCAGCTCATTCTCTCTCCCTGCAGGTGGGGACTCAGTTTAAAAACAGCCTGAGCAGCCTTCTGGAAATTCTCATCTCCAAGGAACCTTCGTACATCCGTTGCATCAAGCCCAACGAGAGGAAAGAGCCCAGTGAGTTGAGAATCGTTTGGAATCCTGAGCTGAGGGAAGGGAGGCCAGGAGGAAAACCAAGATGGTAGCGGGGTAAAATCCTAAAAACCACCACAGGCTTGCTGCTTGTCATCGGTACTTAATAACACAAGGTAAGCGGGGCTTCCCTGGTGGCTCAGTGGTCAAGAATCCACGTGCCGATGCAGGAGACACAGGTCTGATCCCAGATCCAGGAAGCTCCCACATGCCGCGGAGCAGCTAAGCCCGTGGGCCACATCCGTGGAGCCTGCGCTCTGGAGCCGGGGGGCTCTGAGCCCTGGAGCCCGTCCTCCGCAACAAGAGAGGCCACTTCAAAGCCAAGCCTGTGCGCCGCAACTAAAGAGCGGTCCCCGCTCACTGCAACTAAAGAAAACGCCCGCACAGCACAGCCCACACGTGAAGACCTAGCACAGCCAAGGATAAATAAATGTTTAGAAAAGAATACTTAAAGAAAAACATATTAAAGAAATAGAAGGTAGATGAATAGGGAGGAAGGTGACTTTTGTGGTCCCGTGTGAGCATGGCTCAGAGCCTGGCCAGTTTTAGGGCCAACACAGCTGAGCCGGGCAGACCTCAGCAGTGAGGGGAAGCCACCCTGCTTCTTTCCAGCCAGTGCACAGTTTTCCAGATGGTCTAGGCTTTGGGTATTTGCTGAGCCTGCACCATGCTCTCACAATAAGGTCGTGCAGTCAAAGGCTTACAGCAGCCAGGCGGGAAGAGCAAATGAGGGAAGCAGGCTGAGTCAGGCAATAGGGAGTAGAGGGGACTGCGGCAAACTGCATCAGGCACAGCCTGTCTACGGGGCACTTATTGCCATATGAGAGTCTAGGTCCTGAATGACCAGATCTCATGGTTTTTCTCAAGATTTTTTTTTTATATGGACTATTTAAAAAAAAAAGTCTTCACTGGATTTGTTACAATATGGTTTTCTTTCTGTATTGGTTCTTCTGGCCACAAGGCATGTGGGATCTTAAGACTCTGGCCAGGGATGGAATCTGCACCCTCTGCCCTGGAAGGCGATATCCTAACCCCTGGGCCACCAGGGAAGTCCCATCATGGTTTTTCAAGAGAAACTAGAAGTTCAGATTTTCCTGTTAACCCCCACCCCCCATGAAAAGAAACACACGTAGAACCTAACAGGACATATTTGTGGCTAGACCTAGTCCAGAGATCGTCAGCATGTAGCCTCTGGTCTTGTCTTAGATGAAACACGCCCATGGGGTCCTTTTTCTTTCTGTGTTTCCAAAGGCAAGTTTGACAACTTCCTCATAAGGCATCAGGTCAAGTACCTGGGGCTGATGGAGCACCTGCAGGTGAGACGGGCCGGCTTCGCCTACCGACGGAAGTACGAGTATTTCTTGCAAAGGTAAAGTTTGTTTTGTGGATCTTAAGCCGATGAAGTGAGTGGCGATGAATAAAAGGTCATCCCCCCAGGGAACTCGTTTGGTTCTTGCCTGCTGTAGCTGTGACAGTGATGGCATTCCAGAGACTAGGAAGCTGACTTGGTTTACCACCTTCCCTTCATTTCACTGAACCACTAATGTATTGGGTTGGCCAACCTGAATGAGCTTTTTGGCCAAGCCAAAATTCTTTGGAATCTAGGAAGTACAAGGGCCAATGCACAGACTTGCCACCAGAGGGCAGTCGTGGGCCACACACCCCTGGAGTCTGAACTTGGCTGGGGAAGTCTCTTCCCACGCTGCTGGTTTAGTGCGGGTCAGTCTGGGAGCAATCCCCGTGGCCTCATGGGCTGTCATGAGACACAGGTGTTAAAAAAAATTAAGACATAGGAGTAGTGGTAAGAATGTGGGCATTGGAGCCACAGATTCTTGGGTGGCAATCCCCATTCTTCCTCTTCCCACTGGGACCTAATTGCTGATGTGCAATACAGGGATTTGTTCTCAACGATTTGGTAAGGATTAAATGAAATACCCACCATCGCCACCACGGCCCAAACTGCTTGTGCATCAGCTGGGCAGCTTGTTGTGTGTGCTACCAAGAGAACACCACACTTTTACCCTCTCAAGAGAAGCATAATAAAATGGTTGTTTTTGTAGGTTGACATGGTTGAATATTGTTAATTCCATATTTTAACTTAACATTTGACTTCTCTTGAACTTTTTTTTGGGGGGGCCATGCCTCACAGCAGGTGGGATCTTAGTTCCCTGATCAGGGATCGAATATGCGCCCCTGCCCCTGCCCTGGAAGTGCAGAGTCTTACCCACTGGACCGCCAGGGAAGTCTTTGAAGTACAACTTTTTCATAATTATAAAAAGCACATGCATAGGTTACACTTTAAATCTAATTCCTTGCATTATGCCACGTAAGTCAAGATACTACACTCTGAAATTTCAGCACTTTTGGGTGTTTATTTTCAGTCTTCATTTAATATCAGATTTTTCTCTGCCAATGGTGGTGCTCAGTTGCTCAGTCATGTCCAACTCTCTGTCGCCCCAGGGACTGTAGCCCACCAGGCTCCTCTGTCCGTAGGATTCACCAGGCAAGAACACCAGAGTGGGCTGCTTCTTCCTGCTCTAGGGGATCTTCCCGACCCAGGGATAGAACCTGAGTTTCTTGCATCTCCTGCACTGGCAAGCGGATTCTTTATCACTAGTGCCTCATGGGAAGCCCTTTCTCTACCGAGGATCTTGCTTAATTTTCTCCCAGAAGCCTTGTGTCTTGATAATATCTGTTTATATGCATTTATTAAGTAACAATCTCCTTCCTCACTGCTATTTTAATGATTTATCCACCTGCTAATATAAACCTCTGATGTTCTCCTGCCCCAAACTGACATCCACTTAGATCCTCAGAATGTGATTCTCATCAGAAGTAAGGTCTTTGCAGATGTTGTCAAAGTAAAGATTGAGATGAAATCACACTGAATTAGGGTGGACCCTAAATCCAATGAGAGTGTTCTTATAAGAGAGAAAGACTCACAGATAGACACAGGGGAGAAGGCCATGTGAGGACAGGGGCAGAGGCTGGAGTGATGCTTCTAGGAGACTTCGGTGTGAAGTCTCCTCTGAGTGGTTGGCGTGCCCAGAAGAGCAAAGCAGATCTCTAGGGCGGCTCATGGAAGGTGTGTGGGTGTGTGGGTGTGCGCTCAGTTGTGTCCAGGTCTTTGTAGCTCCTCTGTCCGTGGGATTTCCCAGGCGAGAAGAGTGGGGTGGGCTGCCATTTCCTCCTCCAGGGGGTGCTTTCTAAATGTGCCTGTCCTCTCTCCAGGTATAAGTCCTTGTGCCCCGACACCTGGCCGCACTGGCGCGGGCCTCCAGCAGAGGGCGTAGAGAGGCTGATCAAGTACATCGGCTACAAACCCGAGGAGTACAAGTTAGGGAGGTGAGCGTCCTGGAAGTCGCTGTCACAGTGTTTTACGCATCCGTTCGTCTGCATCCTGAGCCTAGAGGTTCATCCTTCAGGAGTTTATATAGATTTATAAGCAGATACTTTTGTCCACCTAATTTAATTGCAGTTTTGTAAAGAAAACACTCTCCTGTGTGTCTCCTCCACTCTCAACACTTCACTCACACTCAGAACCCTCCAGCACACATACCAGCTAGCTGGGTGTCCTGCAGTGAAACTTGCATCTGACAGCTCCCTGGAGAGGGTGTCAGGTCCCACAGGTGAGGGGCTCAGTCCCCCAACACGGTCCTCCCCTCAGAGGACAATCACAAGTCTTGTTTGTCACCTGAGTTTCTGACCAACAGCTATACACTGGAGGTTCTCATGACCCCCGTCTTGGATTTGATTCATTATTCTAGAGCAGTTCAAAGAATCGAGAAAAATAGTGGGCTGGTCAAAAAGTTCATTAGGATTCTTCTGTAACTTCATATGGAAAAGCCTGAATGTTTCACCAACCCAATATTTTACTTACTGGATTACCAGTTTATTACAAAAGGGTATAACTCAGGAGCAAGGATAGCAGAGATGCACAGGGCAAGGTATGTGGGAGCGGGGAGGAAGCTCTTCCAGGTGTCCCCAGAAGATCTCCAAATTGCATTCTTTGGGGGTTTTCTGGAGGCTTCATTACGTAGACATGGTTGATAAAATCATTGGCCAAGGGTCATTCATTCCACCTCCAGCCCCTCTCCCCTTGCAAGCGGTGGGGCTATAACTTGCAACTCTAATTTCAAGACTGGTTTCCCTGGCGACCAGTTCCCATCCTTAGGTTATTCAGGGGCTTTCCAAATATCAGTTGTTAGGTGATGGCGTGGTTGAAAGGGGTTGGTTATGAATAATAAACGATACCTAGGGGAAAAGGGGGTTGGGGGGATAAAATAGGAGTGTGGGATTAGCAGCTAAAACTATATTTTAAATCGATAAACAGCAAGGTCCTACTGTATAGCACAGGGAACTATATTCAACATCCTGCAATAAACCATAATGGAAAGAAATTTTTAAAAAGACATCCATTTCACCTGTATCGCTTGGAAGCTATTTCAGGAGCAAAAACCAAAAGAGTGTTAACAAAAGAGGCCCCGTTGCTCTGATCACTTGGGAAATCACACAGGTTTGGGGAGCTGAGACACTGCAAGGGGACAAAGACCAGACAGAGCTCTTTTATAATAAAACCCAGTGCTGCAAGCTCTAAATGGCAAGAAAGTCTACATTGCTACCTACTGGAGATTAAGTATAAGGGAGCCCTGGGTTCTTAACCTGCATCGGGGGCTGGGATGAACTCTGTGTCAACGCGAGGACGGGAGCCACGTGAGCCCCCTCATCTCTATGTGCCTGGACTCCTTCATTTCTCAAATGTGTGCCCGACTTCTCAGCGGGCGTTAGGACTCCTGTGATGTGGAAGCTCCTCCGGCTTCCCAGAGGGTGGTGTTCTGCAACTTGGAGTATCATTACCGTAGAGCTGTCGCTGTCGGTGAGCAGAAGGACTCTCTCGTACACGCTGAAGGCCTGAGGCAGAACTCAGTGGGGCCAGCCAGGATGATTTCCGCCCGCTCTGTTGGTCATTTTGGTCAGCGTTAACTTGAATGCACAGGACAGGGCCTGGGCATGCAGAGGGTCCATTCTCAGGCGGCAGAGACTCCAGCCTCAGGGATCTCTGCCTTTGAATCTGCCAATGGTCTTTCCCTGCCAACTTGTATACAGTCCTCTATGACCACCCTGGCCCCATCCCATCCTTTACTCTTGTATTCTGGGCCCTGCTCCAAGAGGCAGTGACTTTTCCAAACCGGATTTCTGAGGGGAATTGGGCGTAGCACATCCGAAGGGAGGTGGGTCAGGGAGGTGGGTCATGGGGGTCAGAGGTTGTGTCTGCCCCCATCCATAACCTCCGATGAGAAGGTGGGTTCCTGTGGCACCATGCAATGCTGCCCCCCAGTGGCTGCCTTGGGAAGTTTCCCTTGAAGTGGTGGCGCTGGGGGAGGGGGATGGGTTGGCAATATGAGAGCCGTGAGTGGCTCACTGGTAAAGAATCCACGACCAAGCAGGAGACGTGGGTTCAATCCTTGGGTTGGGAAGATCCCCTGGTCCCTGGAGAAGGAAATGACAACCCACTCCAGTATTCTTGCCTGGAGAATCCCATGGACAGAGGATCCTGGTGGGCTACAGTCCGTGGGGTCACAAAAAAGAGTCGGCCACGACTCAGCAACGAAACATACACACGTTTGTGATTTCTCTTTGCCGTCTGGTGGGATCTTCTCTTAAACTTGGACCCGTATTCTGTGTCATCACGTTTAAAGCTCAGGGAAGTAACTTGGGTTTTAGATGGTGAATCAGTTTCCTAGGGCTGCAGTACAAATTAATCGTAGGCTGGTTGGCTTAAAACAATGGAAATTTATTGTCTCACAGTTCTGGAGGAGAGAAGGCCAAAATCCAGGTGTCAGCAGGGTGTCGACAGGGAGACTGCAGTCTCGCTGGGAGGCTCCTCCCGTGCCACTTCCAGCTGCCTTCTCCCTGTGTCTCTCTGTGAGTCTTTCTCTAAGAACTCTCTCACTGAATTTAGGGTCCACCCTAATTCAGTGTGGTTTTATCTTAATTTTTACCTTGATGACATCTGCAAAGACCCTATTTCTCATAAGAATCACATTCTGAGAATCTAAGTGGATGTGAATTTGGAGGAGGGGATACTGTTCAACCCACTACAGACAGTGATGAACAATGAAATGATTTTTTTTTTATTTCTAGAACCAAAATATTCATTCGCTTCCCCAGAACTCTGTTTGCTACTGAAGATGCCTTTGAATTTAGTAAACATCAATTAGGTACGGTTTTTCTCCTCTGCCTTGATTTTTTGAAATTGATTTATATTTATGTTTGGCTGCGCTGGGTCTTCATTGCCGCATGTGGGCTCTCTCTAGTTGCGGCGAGTGGGGCCTACTCCTCGTTGGGGTGCTTGGACATCTCGCTGCGGTGACTTTTGTCATGGGGAGCATGGGCTCCGGGGTGCGTGGGCTTCAGTAGTTGCACATGAGCTTAGCTGCCCCGTGGCACGTGGAATCTTCCCTGGTCAGGGATTGAACCTGTGTCCCCTGCATTGGCGGGTGGATTTTTAACCACTGGACCACCAGGGAAGTCCCTGCTCTGATTTTAATAGGGTCCTGTCACATCCCAAGGCTGCTTCTGTCAGCTCTACCTGCACACTCCCAGGGCCACAGCTGATAACCCCTTCTGAAGGTCACAGCTGCTAAGATGCACAATTGAAAGCCATGTCACCAAAAGCTGTGTTTTCTTTTAAGTTGCGAGAATCCAAGCCACGTACAAAGGCTGCCTAGAAAGGAGAGTGTACGTGAGAAAAAGACAAGCAGGTAAGACCTGGACAGGACCTCTCCAGTTTGCCGTGGCCCACCGTTTCCCTGTCATCCACAGTCCTTCCAATGAATATTCAGGACTGACTTCCTTTAGGATGGATTGGTTTGCTCTCCATGCAGTCCGAGCAACTCTCAAGAGTCTTCTCCAGCACCACAGTTCAAAAGCATCAATTCAGTGCTCGGTCTTTTTTATGGTCCAACGCTCATATCTGTACATTACTAGAAAAAACACAGCTTTGACTATACAGACCTTTGTCAGCAAAGTAATGTCTCTTTTTTAATATGCTGTCTAAGTGGAGCAGAGATTATAATGCTGCAGCCTCTGCTTGTTCAGTGGACGTGTCTTATTTGATTCACAACACAGGCGTGTTTAAAGAAGTTTTTAAGGTTCCTGACACCATGACTGCTCCTGGAGCCACTGTGCTGCCCCTCCTGGTCACTTCTCTGGATCACCCCCTCCCTCCACACACTCCGCTCTTCTGAACTTGGCATTATGATTTCTTTTCTTTACAATTTTATGATCTCTGGATGCATCATGAAATAATATACTTCTAGGTGGGAAGGTTTTGAACTCCATAAAATTATACTGTTTCTATTCTTCTTTTGCGACATTTTTGTTGCAATAACACTTTATTTACAAACGGGGCAGTCGGTGCCAGGGGCCACAGTTTGCTGAGCCCTGGTGCTATACGAGCGTACCACAATGTTCTGTTGATAGACATTTGTTGGTTGTTTTTGTAACAGTGTTGCCGTGAGGAACACAAGAAAAGCACTTTGAGTCTCATAATTAACTGGGAAAAAAAATCTGAGAAGCATTTAAAAATTGGGACACGAGCCAGAAGTCTAATTTTTGGATGTCCCCATTTTTAACGTAGATGACTATACATGGGATAGAGACAGGGCAAGTGCAGTGGCGAGACTAACCTGTGCCATCAAGGGCCTCTCTGGTCCCTCAAACGGACCTGGGGAACCCGGCCCCCAGCATATTTTGGGGTTCCCCTTGATACGCCCCAGCTCCCTCTGCTCCCCTGTCCCCCGGGTTCAGGGGTCCCTCTGGGCACCTCTGGGTGGAGACTGAAGACTCTCGTCCCACTCTCCATCTCGGGGGCTGGCAGAGTGCTGCACGGGCGTCCAGGTGTTTGTGGAGGGGGTGAAACATTCTTGAAGAGGCTCTTGTATTTAAGGGATTGCACTCACCTTCTAATGCCAGTGGTGACCTCTTTCAGCCATTACACTCGAAGCCCACTGGCGTGGAGCCCTGGCTCGGAAGGAGGCCAAGAGGAGGAAGTGGGCGGTGCAGATTGTAAGAAAGTAAGTCCTCCATCGGCTTTGGTAAGGAGGCGAGGTTTCTGAGTGCTACCGCTGTACTGCAGAGGGTGGTCGTGGACGTGACTGAGATTTTTGGCTTTGGGCAGAAAACCCGTCTTTCCTGCAGGACATCAGCCCTGAGGACTTGCGCACTGGACGGTGATCACAACTCACAACGTTTGACGTTTCTCTTAGCCTAGTTCTCAAGCCACAAAATCAAATGCCTTCTGAGGCCAGGCAGGTGCAGCAGGTCTCATGAGCTGGTAGGGTGGGGACTGAGGCGAAAAGAAACCCTCGGTCCACCTCAGAGGGGTAGTCATCACCCCACTTCAGCCAACGCCTGTCGGGCCAGATCTTTGAACTTCTTTCAAGGAAAGCTGGAAATCTGGCTGTCATGCAATACCCCCCATTTGGTGTTTTTGGCAACAGATTCAGGTTACTCAAAACAAAACCAAAACACAGCGTGGGTGAGATAGAACATATCTTTGGGGGCAGATTTGACCCGCGGCCCTACATGGTAAGCAAATTTAATCTCCCATCGTTTTGGCTGATGCTGATTCAAACCAGTGTGGCAGAGAACTCAGTGAAGAAACAGGAAGTGAGGAAATAGGAAACTAACAACCCTGTCTCCCTCGTAGGTTCATAAAGGGGTTCATCAATCGCAACAAGCCCCTCTGTCCTGACAACGAGGAGTTCATTGTGTTTGTGCGCAAGAATTACATCTTGAACCTCCGGTATCACGTCCCAAAGAACGTCTTGGACAAGAGCTGGCTGAGGCCTCCTGGCATCTTGGAAACTGTAAGGACCATTCCAGAACACATGTGGCAGATGGCGTGGGTGGAGCTTAGTGAAAGTTGCTCAGTCATGTCCGACTCTGTGACATCATGGACTGTACAGTCCATGAAATTCTCCAGGCCAGAACACTGGAGTGGATAGCCATTCCCTGCTCCAGGGGATCTTCCCGACCCAGGGATCGAACTCAGGTCTCCCGCGTTGCAGGCGGATTCTTTACCAGCAGAGCCACAAGGGAGATGGTTGGTTTGTGCTGCCTCACCAGATAAAGCATTTCCCCATGAGGGTGATGCCTGAGCAACCGAACTCAGAATCTGTCATATTCTCTCTCGAAGTATGACACCAGAGGTCTGTTTACACAGAGCACTTCTGAATGGCTCAGTCTTTAATGGGACCTTTCACATAGGTTCAGGGACTGTCGCCTGCAACAGTGTTTCTCAGATGCTCCAGGGACGCTGTGTGTCTGGAGTGCAGAGTGGGGGCGATTGTAATATTCCTGGGCCCCCTCCCACTGGGGCCCCTGAGTCAGCGTCTCTTGGAACCTCCTAGCCAGCAATCCAGGCAACTCAAAACTCATTCCAGGTTAAAAACCACAAGTTTAGCCATAGTGAAAAGACTGGAAGATGAGCAGCTCTCTCTGATCAGAAAACATTTTAACGCTGTGCTTTTACATCACCCTGAGTTCAGCCCTGCTTTCAAAGCTTCTGTTTTGGTGGCTGAAGGCAGGTGGAAAACGGGTGTGTTCCCCACACAGGCATCAGATCTGCTCAGGAAGATGTGCACCAGGAACCTGGTCCGGAAGTACTGCCGTGGGATCACCACCGAGAGGAGAGCCCTGGTAGGGATGCGGCGTGTGGGCAGGTGGCAGGACCGGAGAGGGGTGGGTGCCAGCCCCACAAGGGCCAGCGGTCCTCATCTACCATCTCATCTGTAAGCCGAAGGTCACACAAGGCTCATGCCTCATACTTGCCTTGAGGATAAAACGCGCATGGACCACTTAGCACAGAACCCTCCTGAACTGGCAAGTGTCATAAGCACCATCACTCTCTTGTTAGCACTGTTACCATGGAAACAACCATCCAGACGGCCCCCTCTCTGGAGGTGTGGTTTTATGTTCATCTGCCAGTCAGCAGATTTTTTTTCCCCCCTATAAAGAGCTAGAGGGTAGCATTCTAGGCTTTGTGGGCCACACCATTTCTGTTGAAATTACTGTGCCCCAGAAACCTGTAAATAAAGGGCACAGCCATGCTCCAAAATATACATCACTCACAACACTTTACTGGGTTTGGCCTGCGGGCTGTAGTTTGTCACCTCTGACCTAGAAGAATGTGCTCTCTGAAACAGTGAAATTCTACTTCCAAGAAGTCAGTGCAAGTAGAGACGAGCCCAAGTGTCAACTTCAGTCTCTAAGCAGTAGAATGTTTGGAGCTTTGGTCCAAGCCAGGTGTGTTTGACTTCTGCATGCTCTGACTCCTCGGCAGAGGGGTGGCAAGGCTCCCCAAGGAGCCTGACTTGTTCAGTAAAGTCAGCGCTAACATGGACCTCTTTAGGTCCCCAAGAGCCTCATGGCTACTGTTCTGTTCTTTAACTATACCAGATGCAGGAAAAGGTGGTCACGAGTGAAATATTCAGGGGAAAGAAAGAAGGCTACGCAGAAAGCTTAAATCAACCCTTTGCCAACAGCCGAATAGGTCAGTCTCTTTTTCTATCTACATGCTCGTTTGCCCTATTTTAAAAAAAAAAGTCAAAGGAAGATGTTTGACGCCTAGCGTTTCCTGACAGTTATCTCCCAGCTTGAGGTCTAATTCACAGGGGGACATAAAACCAGCTGATGCCTCTGGCTTCTGCCCAGGGCTGGTACCCAGTGATGATTTGCTGTGTTCTCATTGCCTCCTTAGATGAAGGAGACATTAACCCCAGAGTGCTTCAACTCCTCAGCAGCGAGAAAATCCAGGTAAGGAGCTGTGTGTCCTCGCCCGAGACAGGACTTCCCCACAAGATCTGAGAATAAGTCTGTTTCCTACACAAGACGGTTCTGGAAGCACTATCTGAAAGCAGGGGTGCGCGTGTGTGGCCCCAGCTCTCAGCTGTGGTGCTACAGATGCTGAGATGATGGGGACCCCGTAATCTTTGGTACCCGCTGCTGTTCTTACAGTCCTTATCTGCCACCCCACTGTGTTTGATGCCCTGTGAAGTTGAGTGGAATGTGGCTATGCACGTAATCATTAGACATCCCCTGTTAGAAGCAGTGTGGTGGGGGTGCCTGTGCACCCACGTGGGCTTCGTAACGGAGCTGTGCGGCCCCCGGGCAGGTGACTTACAGGCTCGGCGCCTTCGTGTTTCTGTGAACGGGGAGGACAGAGGGGTCGGGAGTGTGAGGGGCGCAGGCACACAGCAGCCAGTGACCTTGGCGGCACTGGGGGTTGCTGGGTCACTTTGTCTCCTGGGCACCAGAGACCTGTGACTGGGTTAGATTGCTCTCCAGCGGTCAGGGCTCCAACGCCTGCAGAGTGTCTTCATCTCTGCTGAGTTTTCAGAGCAGCCTGGTGAGGCTGATGGCCGGGGCCTTGAATTCCTCAGGTCAATGCCAGAGTCAGAGCCAGGAATCGAATCTATCTCACAGAGAGCCAGGGTTCAGAGAAAACCCAGCTGTGCACCGTCTGAGCCCCTCTCATGTGAGTGCCCGAAGCCATGATGCTAGAGCCCGAGGAACAGGGAACTCGGTAGTCTGCCCCCTCCCCTGTGATTGGAGCATCCCTTGGAGTGACGGTCCCCTCCTCGCAGTACGGCGTCCCGGTCATTAAACACGACAGGAGAGGCTTCAAGATGCGGCAGCGGCAGCTTATCTTCACTCAGAAAGCAGCCTACGTGGTGGAATCTGCCAAAATCAAGCAGAAAATAGAGTACCCCACCCTCAAAGGTAAGTAGCAGGTGATCTTAAGATGACCCACTGGGTGGACTCAGCTCCCAGGAGCACCAGCAAGGAAGCAGCTCCTTCGTTGAAAGACCAAGTGAGGAACTTCCCTGGTAGTCCAGTGGCTAAGACTCTGCACTCCCAATGCAGGCGGCCCAGAGGGCCCAGGTTCCCTGTCTAGGACCCCCAGGACCCACATGTTGCAACTAAGACCCAGCACCGCCAAATAAATAGATATTTTAAAAAAAAGACCTAAGTGAAGGGTGCCCACAAAACCCAGGGCAGCCCGGCCTGGCCTGTGCCTCTGATTCCAGCATAAAGGCCCATGGCATCTCACCCCAACATCCAAGTAGAAGGCCAGTCACTCGTGACAGCTTATTCCAAGCACAGACGCTAACTGCTGGAATATGTGCCCTCCACCCCAGTCAGCCCAGCTAGGAGGGAAAAAGCGTGGTGTTGGGAACCCCAAGCGGGCCTCTTTTCTCTGTATTCATGTCAACTTGTCCAGTTCCTGGCCCCTGACTTTGCATCTGTCCTAAGGTGTCTCCACCAGCAGCCTCAGCGACGGGATCTTAGTCATTCATGTTTCGCCAGCAGACATCAAGCAAAAGGTAACTGCTGGCCATGGGGCGGGCTGTTAACAGGGAGAAACACTGCCGAAATCTTTAGCTGCCCCCGGTGAAACCTCAGTGGTAGTTTTCCTTGAAGCCACTACGACTTAAGGGCTTCCCAGGTGGTGCTAGTGGTAAAGAACCCGCCCAACAACACAGGAGACTTAGAGAGATGCGGGTTCGATCCCCGGGTCGGGAAGATCCCCTGGAGGAGGAAATGGCAAGCCACTCCAGGATTCTTGCCTGGAGACTCCCCATGTTCAGAGGAGCCTGGTGGGCTACAGTCCACAGGGTCACAAAGAGTTGGACATGACTGAGTGGCCGAGCACGCACCGCTGAAATGGCTGTGTGTCCTCGCCTCTCTGCCGCAGGGGGATGTCATCTTACAGTGCGAACACGTATTTGAAGCGGTTACTAAGCTCGCCATGCTGGCTAAGAAGGAGAACCTCATAAATGTTGTTCAGGGAAGGTAGGTGGTCACATCTGGACTCAGTAAGTCCCTCAGTGTTAAATGTCTATTACCTCATTACTGACTGGGGGAATTTTGCAGAAACTAATGTCTGTGGCCAGTGATTTTTATTTTGGCAGGCCAAAAATGTGATTCTGTTAATTCACTAACTATTGAACATAATAGTGTTGTATTCAATAGTTACATCTGACACACCTGTAAAGTCTTCCCCAGCACTGCTTCGTTTTCACTTTCCATATCAGAACCAATCACTCAGGTTTTTTGTCTTTTTTTGGTCTAACATGCACACCGTCTCAATCAGAACTATATTCTGAAGAACTATCATCTTCTGAGACACTAGTATCTATGTTGCTCGGGCAATCAGAGAAAGTATCTGCATAAAATCCACCAAAACATCCTTCTCCATTCAGAATTTCACCATGCGTCATTTTTGAAAACTTTACAGTAATGAACTTGGCATTTATGACATACACAAGGTTGGATCAAAAATCTGATGGGGCAAACTGTGAATAACGACAATCATAAGTTGTATAATGAACCACTGATCAACTTTAAGTTCTAGCAACTAGTTACAGTGATATTAATTGCATCACTTTATAAAAATGTATTGCTACAACTCTAGTCAATAACACCTGGGTAACAAAAGAGATATCAATAGGTCTCTGGTCAATAATGTATTAACAGATCAAGGAAGATGCAAACGTTAATTGTTTCACCCATGCCTGCCCCTCCTGGAAAAGCAAGCACTGCCTGCCTGCAACAACTTTCTTCCCTCCTCAGCTCCTAGGACAAGAGCTCCAAAGAAATGAAGTCAGTGATCACTCATTTTCCTAAGGGAACCAACAGTTTTCCAAAGAGGTGCTTATGGTCTTAAGTTGTCTCCAGGTGAAAGGGGGACCCCTGGGCCAGAGCAGGTGACAGCCACACCCCTGCTATTGATGCCTGTGGAAGAGCTGTGCTAAACTGATTTGAGAGTAACTACAGGAATGCATGGCCATTTTCCCAGCTGCAGAAATGGCTTTCTTCTGATAACTCAAATACACAATTAAAGTCTATAATGAAACAGGAATTTGATCTTGAAACTAGTAAGCATCACAGGTGAATTTCTTTTGCAGAACCAAAGCTGGAAGAGAAAAATAATAAAGCATGTCAGTAATTTATCATTTTGTGTATTAATATTTTAAGTTTACAGTTTTGCATTAGTCCTGGAAAAGAAGGCACAATAATTTTTGACACCGGACCAGAGGAACAAATCTATAAAGATAAAAACGGACAGTTGACAGTGGTGAGTGGCTGGGTCTGGGGGAGGGAGGCGTTAAGCTGTTTTAAATGAGACTATAGGTTAAAATCCTCCTAATTTCAGTCTTCCTTGGGCTTCTCTAGTGGCTCAGACGGTAAAGAATCTACCTACAATGCAGGAGACCTGGGTTCAGTCCCTGGGTCGGGAAGATCCCCTGGAGAAGGGAACAGCAACCCATTCCAGGATTCTTGCCCGGGAAATCCCATGGACAGAGGAGTTTGGTGGGCTACAGTTCACGGGGTCACAGAGATTCAGACATGACTGAGTGACTAATACTTTCACTTTCACAGACTGACTGGAATCATAATCGTTTATTTTTCCCTCTGAGTCTACACTGAACAACAGTCAGGAATGGGTACTAGAGATACAGATGCAAACACTGAATGAAAAAGGAAACAGTTTACTCACATTTACTTGTCAGGGGACCAGAAGCTGACATTCAATTCTTCTCAGTATTAAATGTCCAAGCCCAACTCTTCACTGGGTGGCAAAGGCCTGATGCCTTACCACGTGGTTCTCAAGCGAGTCTCCACATGGGAAACTCCTGGTGAGCTTTGAAAAATACCAAGTGTTTGTGTCTCCCCTGTCACCACCCCCAAGACACCATGATGCTACAGGTGGAGGGTGAGGCCTGGGCTCTGGAATGGGAGGCTCCTGGCACCAAGGAGCAGAGGTTTGGGAGACAGGTCCATGTTAAAAAATCAAGCCTCGTGCTCCTCCCTAGCGAGTCTGATACAACTTGGCTGGGAAATGACAACTATTCCACCCCAAGGTGTTTGAATCTTTAAGATGTATGTTGTATATGTACCAAGGATTCAGTTTGCTACAAACCAATCTGAAAATGGTCTAACAACATAGAGCATCTCATATACATTTAACAATGAAATGTATTCTGTCAACAGGGACAAAATATTTAAGCATGATTTTTAGCGTAATGGATAAGGTGATTTTTCAGTTTACATGCTGTCTTAAAGCCTTCGCCCCATGTTCCTCCCTGGCCGGCTCAGGCTGAAGCTAACAGGCCTCAGGGAGCCCAATTCTAGATGTGGCTCAGCTCATGGCAGGGGGTGGGGTGGGGATGGACATGGTGCGGGTGGCGGGGCCGGCGGCTCACAGCTTGTCCGTGTCTACCTGGACCATGTGGGCGGCTGGGGTGCTACCGGCATCCTTCCGAGGGAGGAGAGACCTCTGAGCTCCAGCCTGTACCCTCGCCAGGTGTCGGTCCGCATGAAGTCCTGACGGAAGACGGCATCTGACCTCTCCCATCGCCACTTTTGCTGCCACTGAGGAGAAACCCGGGAAGCTCGAGTCTGGCCCCGCGAGCGTCGCCTTCAAGCAAGGGTTCCAGCAGTTCTGGGGAAAGACCATCCCTGAAGGAAGGGAATGGCATCTGACGCCAGCCCCACAGGTGTCTCGTGGCATTAAAAGTGCCTTCCAGGGAGCCAACCTCAAATCATCCAAGGGGGTGCTCTTAAACGTCCCCAATAGGACCTACGCTCGATGGGCACTTGAGCATGTCATTATGGGGGGCGGGGGCGACAGAGCCTGTCATGCTGCCCCGGAGGCACAATGAAACATGTGGTCTGAGCGCGTAAGGCTGCAAAATGTGAATTCTGCTTAAATAAGTGGAACTCAGGAACATCCCCAACTCCTTCGCGGCTTTAGGTTCCACGGGGTGAGGTGAAGCTCTCCCCACCCCAAACCTGTGCTCAGGGGCAAGAGCCGCTGACCAGCCGTCTGCGTTTCCTCCAGTCCTGCAGCCTCTCCACCCGAGACTTCCTGCCAGTGTTGGGAGTTCGAACACTCCAGAAAAGGACTCAGCTTTTCCACCCTGAGCAACCTGGAGGTGGGATCTCTGCTCTGAACCGCACCTCAGTCAGTGGCCAGACTGTGCTGGGCATTTCTGAAAAGATCCACAAAAAGAGATTTAAGTAGAAGCGTTATATAGAACTTTTATTTTACATACGTCCACAGAGGCTGGTGCAACATACAGTGACTGCTTCTGAAGTGCATAGGGTACTTTTTCCCGTGGCACAGAGACAGAAAGGTTAGTGACACACACATGTTACAGTGACTCTGGGTAGTGGGGAGCACATTCCAGACGGAGGGCTGGGGTGCCTGAACGGTGACCACCCCGCTACATCACTGCAGGGGGGCGACTGTGAGGCCTGGCCAGGAACTGTCATGGGCAGACGCCCCTAGTGGCCGCAATCAATGACTTATTTGGGGAAAAAACCTGATTATGAGGGACCCAAAGCTGTACTGGTTTTTCCCACTGTAAGTTATTACAGTGTAATAAAAACTACACTCTTTAACAAATCTTAGGGCCAGTGATTTGCTTGGATGGTTCTTAAATACAGGTATTGACTTTTGCTTACCCTTAGTGCTCACATAAGAGATCAGTTCCTTGAAGAGCATGTCTGATAACAGAGCCTTGGACCAGCCAATGCTTCGTCATTATCAGCTCACGGCTATAGGCAGCTAACAGTATCACTCACTATGGAATGCTTTCATGAACTTGTTCATATCCCAGGAAAGCAAAGACTTCAAACTCCAAGTGCAAAGTTGGAGGAGATGTGAAAACAGAGATTGCCAGAAACATTTTTTAAGTCATTATAAACATTATAAGGTGTAGAAGCCCCGACAGCTCAGACTGATCCACAAACTTACTCTTCACGTAAACATTTAAAAACAAAAGAGAACTTACATGATGGCTTTTCCATTCCTACAGAAAACATCAGAACTGACATTCACTTTACCGTTCTAGAAAAGGACAACCCAAACAGCAGGGTTGGTGTTTAAAACTTCCACAGTAGAAAATATTTACAAACCATATTTAATTAAGCCCCCTCCCTCCCGTCCTCAGCACTTAATAAAATCCAGGTGGCCTATATACGAAAGTTGCCCACACAACAGTTTAAAAAGCATCTACCCCTGTATGTGATTTTTTAGGTTCGATCATGATTGTTTGCAAGTTTTATTGTAGGCTTTGCTGCTGGATACAAAATAAAGGTATACAACTGTCCCAAGTAGGACCGGATGTACAAAGTCTAAGCAGTAAAAACCATTTCAAAATATAAACTCGTTTTTTGGGGAATACACTGTCAAAGGCTGCCCATATTAATACCTTTGGTATAAAACAGTCACTTAAATAGCCGACAAAACCCATCCAGACCGTACACACACCCTCACCTTCCTGAACTACTCTACCAGCCTAGTCTCAGCCACCCACATTCGTCACAACTCCCTCTGGGCCGGCACAGGCGCGGAGAGGCGGGGAGGTAGGTCACCGAGAACGTCCGCCCCCCACGAGCGCCGTGTGGGCAGCAGGGCTCCAGCGCGGGCCCTTCGGGCCCCCCAGGCACACATCCTCATCCACAGTCACGCACGTCCCTTAAGCAAACATGAACACGGACACTGACCGGACCCCAGAAACATGCACAACCTCTCGGTCTGCTCGCTGACAGCCACGTCACACTGTGTAAGACTCCAAGGCGGAAACCCGGAGGGTATCTCCGGGTGACAGCCATCCTATAGTGAACACTGGTCCTGCCTGGACACCAGAACAGAGTCTGGGGCCAGGTTTCCTATCTTCTTAGCCAAGGGGAGGGCATCTGCTTGGGGCAGCAAGCCCTGCTTAACAGGGCAGAAGGCCGGGGAGGAAGGAATGGAGCCACCGGGCAGCGGTCTGTGTGCTGTGCCCGTGAGCAGGCCAGGCGGCCAGCATGGAATGGAGTGGGTCCCCAAGGCAGGGGGCGGGGGTAGGTGGGAGGAGCGGGGGGAAGCTCTGCCCGCAGCCAGACCACAGATCGGCTGAAGGGGCAACAGGCCTGCCCTTCGGCAGAGCTGGGCAGCCAGGGGCACGCTGGGAACCGCAGCAGAGAGGTGCGAACCCCCAGGAGCTGCAGGTCTCCACCCACAAGCTCTCTGAGCGGTGCCCATGGCCGGATGGGCAGCTCGCAAAGCCCTGGAGCCTGTGCCAGGCCCAGCACACAGGAACGGGGCCAGGACGCTGGGCTGCAAGGTGGGGAAACGTGGGGACGCCGCGGGTGACCACTGCCCATGGGGCCCTGCTCCCAGCTGGCAAACCGAACCCTGGAGGGAAGGCCCCCCAAGAAGATGAGAGAGGCAGTCAACACCCCCCAAAATAAATACTGCAAAGGGGTTTCTCACACGCACACCCCGCCCGCTCACCCACCCCTCCTCCGGAAGCAGGAAAAAGCCTGGCTCCAGCGCTGCTCGGATTCTCTGGGAAACAGAGACCGTGGACCCGGCTTGTTCACCAGCTGGGGTGCGTTCACCTGGGCAAAGACATCAATTTACCTTTTCGAGAAATACCAAAATCATTTGGTTTGTAGGGAAGTCTCTCTGGACTCTGGGGGAAGTGGCAGGAGTCTGGGAGCCAGCGGAGGTGCTGGGTACACAGCAAGGGGGGGCGGGCGAGCGGATGGGGGGCGGCGGGGGACCCCACCCGCTCACTGGTGGAGGTGGGCCCGGTCATCTGGGCGCTTGATGTGGATCCGTCGCACGCGCTCAATCCGCTCCCGCTCCCGCTCCTCGTCCTCGTCCAGATGGTGGGAGCGCCCGGCCGCCCCGCCCGTGGCCTCGAGGAGCGCGTTGTCAGGTCCCCGGCCATCCTGGGCCTCGTACAGCAAAATGTTCAGGGTCTCCTCGTAGATCCGGGCTTCGGGGAACTCCACCTGCGGCCCCACGGAACACAAGGCGGTGAGTTGTCATCTCAGAGCTCCCCTCTCCCGCCCACCTCTGCTTCCGCCGAGGCCCTGAAAGCAGTGCCGTTTGGCCCCGGCAGGCCCCCTACCATCAGTAAGACGGTCATGATCACGCCCCAGGTGGTTACAGCTTTCAATGGGCAACACCTACACACGGTGCTGGATTCACACACGAGAGAAAATGGATGCAGTGCAGTGGCGCTCTCTGCCCCTCGTTTCCTTTCTGTGGACACTGGCATCATTCCCAACATGGTGCTTCTAACAGGGCTGCACCCTTGCACACCTGTCATTCCACACCTTAAGGCAGCATTCCGTCCAAAAAGGGACCACCAGGGGGGGCCCTCATGAAACGGACGGTTATAATCCCTCCCCACTCAGTAAAGCACCGTGTCTGTTCACCGCCCTTCAGGCGCCATGAGTGAGAGGCAGGTCCCAGGCACTTGTCTCGGGCAACAGAATGAATCAGTGAGAACTGCCAAAGCACTTGAGATGCTGTACCAAGGAAGACGACAATGATGCAGAAACCCAAGTGGGACATCTGTACAGTGACTTTGGGCAACAGAACCTGAATGTTGGCGCCAAAGCTCAGCTTCTGGAGGTTTGGGTTGAAAGGAGAAAGAGGAAAACAGTCCCTCTGAAGGGGTGGCCATCCCAACACCACCTCCCTGGAGACAGGAGCCTGACGGGACAGGATGCAGAGTGAAGGAAGCAGGGAAGCCTGGCCTCCATCCTGGCTCCACCACTAACCAGCTGCCCAAACAAGAGCTCAGGCTCACTCCAGAACCCACCCAAAACTCAGCTGGGATCTGACCGTGAGGTCTCTCGGTACCTCTCCTGCCCCTTAAACTCCAAAAACATAAAGCAGCTATTTTAAAGTTTAATCAATATGATAACTAGACTTTGAATATTCAAGGGCAGATGCAATCCATGCATATACAGACAAAAAAAACAAACTATGAGCACTTTCCTGGTATTCCAGTAGTTAAGAAATTGCCTTGCAACGCAGAGAGCTCAGGTTCGATCCCTGGCCTGGGAACTAAGATCCCGTATGCCGCAGAGCAGCTAGGTCCAAGAGCGGGTGCTATGGCCCCGCTCACTTCAGAGCCCACGCACCTCGACTGGGGTGTCTAAGCGCCACAACGCAAGATCCCAAGAGCTACAACTAAGACCATGACACAGTGGGGAGTCCAGTTACTGGTGGAATTCACAGCCCTACGGACAAGTTCACAGGAGAAAAGAACCATGTGACTTCCCAATGTTGGAGAAAGTGTTAGTCACTCAGTCACGTCTGACTCTGTGACTCCATGGACTGGAGCTCCTCTGTCCACGGGATTCTGCAGACAAGAACACTGGAGCGGGTTGCCATTCCCTTCTCCAGGGGATCTTCCCGACGCAGGGATCGAACCCGGGTCTCCTGCATTGCAGGCAGACCCTTTACCGTCATAGTGAACCATTCTGGTCACCCCCACTATCTCTGCAAAGAAAAAAGGAACCCCGGCGCTCTTCCCTTCCTGGCTACCTTAGAACAATATGCATCTTTCAGGATACGTTCTACATAAATGAATAAAATCTTTTCAGAAGTGAAATTTTTAA